TTGGGGGGGGGGGTCTTGCCATGAAAGAGAAATGAGCGTCTCTTCTCCTCTCTCTGCAGTTCCTGTGGAGCCGGCCATCCAGGAGCTGTTCAGGTCAGTGGTCCACACACGAGCCCCGTGGTGGTTCGGAGAACGCACCCCTTGATAGCGGGTTTCCGCGCTCCCCGGGGCCTGCCCCGCCCCCGCCCCCGGTGCCCGGCCTTCCCTGCGTGCCCACGGCCCCCGGCCCCCGGCCCCCGGCCTTCCCTGCGTGCCCCCGGCCCCCCGGCCCCCGGCCCGGGCGCGCCCGAGTGACGCGTCCATTCCTCTTGCAGCTGCCCCACCCCCGGCTGCGACGGCAGCGGCCACGTCAGCGGGAAGTACGCGCGACACAGGAGGTAAGGCTGCGCCGGTGCCCGGCCTTCCCTGCGTGCCCCCGGCCCCCGGCCCCCGGCCCGGGCGCGCCCGAGTGACGCGTCCATTCCTCTTGCAGCTGCCCCACCCCCGGCTGCGACGGCAGCGGCCACGTCAGCGGGAAGTACGCGCGACACAGGAGGTAAGGCTGCGTCTCTGCGCGGAGCCGCGTGCCTCGCGGGCGCCGCCTTGGGGAGGCTCCCCTGCCCCTCTGGACCTGGGGCTCTGGGAGCGGCTCCGACGGCCGCCTGGGGCAGCGTTTGTCCTCCCGTGGGGGACAGGCGGGGTCAGCGCGGCACCTCCCGCCGGTTCGCGGGGAGGCGGGTGTCACATCCCCGCTTTCTCCTTCCATAGCTCAGGAGGGTGACCCTCGGGTGGTGGAATGAAGTGCGGCCTTCCTGGTCCTGGTCTTTCTGCGGGAGCTCGACCCGTCCAGGGGGAGGAAGGCCAGGCCTGGTCCCAGGCGGCTGCGGGGGACGATCTGGGCTGGAGGGGCCAGGCCGGGCCAGGCTCCAGGGCTCAGGTGATGGTGCTCGTCAGCCCAGATCTCAGGCCTGCGGCAAGAGAGGGCGCGGGGACACCCGGAGCATGGGGCGGGGAGGGGCTTGGGGCGGGGTCGCACCCTTCACGCCAAGGCTGCAGCGCAGGCGCAGGTCGGCCCCGCAGGTTCTCGTGTCGCGGGCCCCAGCCCTGTGGTAGGAGGCAGCGTCCCCTTTCTGCGGAAGGTCACGGCCCCGATGCATCAGAAGCATGCACCGGTCAGGGCTCGCCTGTGGCCGACTCCCGGTACCCGTCAGGCCGAGCAGCCTCCAGGGGCCGGGCCCAGGTACCCAGGACCAGGTGCAGAAGCAGGTGATCCAGCCCCCAGGCGACAGTCCTCGCAGCCTCGCTCGCTATTTCCTTTTCAGCTGAGCGCTAATTTACCGGTGAAATCAAGCAATTATGATGATTGTCCTTCAGCAAAATCAAGGGAAAATTACAAATTACTCCAAATCCCCCATGCTAGCGTTTAGGGAGGCAGGGAATTTTAATGGGCACCCAGGATGAAACGGTTCCAGACTGGAGGAACAGGCGGCCATGGTTAAGAGAATTTTGTGACTTAAATTATTATATTTAATGTATTATATTATTATCTTACTGTGCAAAATTATCAAATTATCTGATTTAAATACATGGTTTATTTCAAGTATTTGCTATTTGATGAAGGAGTATATATGTAAATTCTTTTTTAAAAATCCTGTTTTTAAAACCTGACTGGTTTATGTTTACAATGGAGAAAAACAAGTTAGCCAACTATGACTGAATTTTTTCCCCTAATCATCTCATGTGTGCATGCCTGCTAAGTCACTTCAGTCGTGTCCAACTCTTTGCAACCCTATGGACCATAGCCCACCAGGATCCTCTGTCCATGGGATTCTCTAGGCAACAATACTGGAGTGGGTTGCTATGTTCTCCGTGGGAACTTCCCGACCCAGGGATCAAACCTGGGTCTCCGACATCTCCTGTATTAGCCGGCGAGTTCTTTACCACTGGCTCCACCTGGGAAGCCCAATCATCTCATGATTAATCAATAGTTAAAAGTGATTATATTGCTACTAGAAGGAATGATTGCTGCTGCTGCTGCTAAGTCGCTTCAGTCGTGTCTGACTCTGTTCGGCCCCATAGATAGCAGCCCACCAGGCTCCCCATCCCTAGGATTCTCCAGGCAAGAACACTGGAGTCGGTTGCCATTTCCTTCTCCAGTGCATGAAAGTGAAAAGTGAAAGTGAAGTCGCTCAGTCGTGTCTGACTCTTAGCGACCCCATGGACTGCAGCCCACCAGGCTCCTCCATCCATGGGATTTTCCAGGCAAGAGTACTGGAGTGGGGTGCCATTGCCTTCTCCAGAAGGAATGATTAAGTTTGGCTAAAAAGTTTTAATTAGATGTCAGCTAACCTTAACTAGGCATCATAACCACACTTTTGCGGAACAGTCATGAATTTCCCCAAGAACTGGCTCAAGCCTTTGTGTTTCTACCTGCAGTTCAGCCCGTGGCCGTGGACCGATGGGTCCTGTGGAAGCGGGCTGTGGGCACACCCTCCGTGGGGCCCTCTTCCTGCTCAGGAAACGGTGCTTAGGCTGAGGCTGGGCCAACTGAAGACGGCCAGGCTCCACCCTCCTCTGAGACTCGATGCTGATGAGAGCACAGAACACCCTGAACTGCCCAGGAGCAAAGTGGATGAAAAGTAGATGCCATTTCCTCTTCTGAGGGATCTTCCCCACCCAGGGAACAAATGCTCATCTCTTGCATCTCCTGCATTGGCAGGCAGATTGTTTACCGTTAGCGCCACCTGTATTGGCTTCCATTTCCTTGGTTTTAAAACAAGAAAGTCACAGACTTGGTTGCATGCCTGCTAAGTCACTCAGTCGTATCCAACCCTCTGCAACCCCATGGACTGTAGCCCAGGAGGCTCCTCTGTCCATGGGATACTGCAGGCAAGGAAATTGGAGTGGGTTGCCATTTCCTCCTCAGGGGATCTTCCCAACCAAGGGATCAAACCCAAGTCTCTTACATCTACCTTCATTGGCAGGCATGTTCTTTACTACTAGGGCCACCTGGGAAGTCCACAGACTTCGTTATGTAAAGCTAATTACCATTCAGAATGCCATGTCAGAGATAAGACTTCTCTCCCAGGAATCACTGACGTTATCAAGTAAGGCTTTCTAAGTTTTATTTTTCAATGGCTGTATATTATCAGTAATTTTTAACTAAAAGGTGACCTTTGAATTTCTCAGACTGAGAAGGTTGCCCTTGTAGTAGGTAAGACTCTTGTACACATCAACATCTTTTGACTGTAGCTATTTCAAATCTGTGAGATTTCAATTATATCTGGCCTTGTTTCATTTTGAAAAGATAGTTTCTGAGCTATGACAGCTGCTCATGCACGTAAATACCTGCACCCCTCCCCCCAACACAGGTGTCACCTCCCCCCCGCTGAGTCTTGGCGCGCCTGAGACCTCTTCAGATAGGACCAGCATGGCAGCCTCAGTTTGGGTCTTGATGAAATTGCCCATCACTTCAGGTTTTTCCTTGGAGAAGGAAATGGTAACCCTCTACAGTGTTCTTGCCTTGAGAATCCCATGGACAGAGGAGCCTGGCGGGCTACAGTCCATGGGGTCACAGAGAGTCAGACACGATTGAGCGGGCAACACTCAGGTTTTTACTGGTGCACTTTTCAATGAGTGTACTCCTGTTAAGGCTACAGTTTCATTTTACTCACTCATCATGCCAGTTTGTAGCTGAGTATAAAGGCATTCTTTTAGTATATTGATATCTAGCTATTTGAACGTGCAAAAATTAATTTGAGGCAAGTGAATAGAATCAACAATGTAAAAAATAAAATTTTTCGAAAATTTGATTTCAAGTAGTGAAATGAAGTCTACCAGGTAATCTTTATTTTAGCATAAGAAAATTCCTGAGAGAATCAAATACTGGTCAGAGTTTCAGCGTGCCATTTCACTGCTTTGGAGGGCCTGCATGGTGGTGGCCGTGTCCCTGGGAGGTGGTCATATCCCTGGGTGGTGGTCATGGCCCCAGTTGGTGGTCATGCCCCTGGGTGCTGCCTGTGTCCCTGGGAGGTGGCCCTGGGTGGTGACTGTGGCCCTGGATGGAGGCCGTGGCCCTGGGCAGTGGTCATGTCCCTGGGTGGTGGTCGTAGCCCCAGTTGGTGGCCATGTCCCTGGGAGGTGGCCCCAGTAAGTGGTCATGGCCCTGAGTGGTGGCTGTGGCCCTGGGCGGTGTCTGTGGCCCTGGGCAGAGGCCGTGGCCCTGGGCAGTGGTCTTGCCACTTCAGTGGGGATTTGGTTTCCTGTGGAGCAGCTGAGATGGGTGGCTTTTTCCCTGGGTAAGGAAGGCAGAGCTGTGGGTTAGTAAGAAACCGGGAATAGAGGGCAGAAAAGGACCAACCACTGGGTGATGCTTGTGAAGTTCATCAATAGTCTGAATTCACAAGGAATTTACGATTTACGGTCCTGGGTAAAAACGAAGGGGTGAGAGTTAAACTTCTAATTTTATTGGATGTTCTGCCTTATCCAGAAGCTATATCCTTGAACTACAGATAATCGACTCAGGGTCTTTGTTCATGTTAATCGTTCACAGTTTGAGCTGCCTGATAAGCATACACACAACTGCACAAAGGGTGAATCAGAAAGAGAAACTGGGGAAAACATAAGGGAAATGAGAGCAGTTTTACCAGAAACTCCAGGCACATCAGGGGGTTGGGTGTAGTATCCCACGTGGTGCCGAGTCGCCGAGCAGGCGGGGTGACAGAGAGGAAGAGCAGTGGCAGAGCCCCCGCGTCCGACGCAGGCACCGCACCCGTTCCTCCCCGGCCCCTCCTGGACCTGAGGCCCATCTCTGGATCCCTGCACGCTGACCGCAGGGGTCCCAGCTCTGTCGACATTTTCATGCCCTGATGCATGTGGTCATGCCCTGGTGCATGCCCTGATGCATGCCCTGATGCATGTGGTCATGCCCTGATACATGCCCTGATGCATGCCCTGATGCATGTGGTCATGCCCTGATACATGCCCTGATGCATGCCCTGATGCATGTGGTCATGCCCTGATGCATGCCCTGATGCATGTGGTCATGCCCTGATACATGCCCTGATGCCCTGATGCCCTGATGCCCTGGTGGCTCAGACAGTAGAGAATCTGCCTGCAATGCGGGAGACCAGGTTCGATCCCTGGGTCGGGAAGATCCCTGGGAGAAGGAAACGGCAACCCACTCCAGTATTCTTGCCTAGAGAATCCCATGGACAGAAGAGCCTGGCGGGCTCCAGGGGGTTGTAAAGTCAGACACAACTGACTGACTAACACTTTCACATGCACATGATCAGGACAAAACCACCAGCCTTTATCTTCCAAAACATTGTTAGTGTCCAGACACACAGCTCCGACTCTTCTAGGCTCTATATTATTAGCATGTAATTATGACAAAATC